TCCCCTGCTGCGTTACTTATCGCCACCATAGGGCACGACATCCCCTAGTAGCATCTCAGAGCGCCACAAGCCTCATTTTATTGTAAACATAAGGTACGATATTCCCTAGTAGCATCCTTGAGTGCCACGAGCCTCACCTTATTTCCAACACAAGGTACTACATCCCCTAGCTGCATTACTTATCGCCAACATAGGGTACGACATCCCCTAGTAGCATCTCAAAGCGCCACGAGCCTTATTTTTTAGCCAACATAGGGTACGACATTCCCTAGTAGCATACCAGAGTGCAACAAGCCTCATCTTATTGCCAACATAGGGTAGTACATCCCCAGGATGCATTCCTTTCTAACAACACAGGGTACGACATTCCCTAATAGCATCTCAGAGCGCCATGAGCCTCATTTTTTTTGCCAACATAGGGTATGACATTTCCTAGCAGCATCTCAGAGTGCCAAGAGCCTCATCTTATTGCCAACACAGGGTACTACATCTCCTGACTACATTACTTTCTGCCAACATAGGGTACGACATTCCTCAGTAGCATCCTAGAGTGCTACGAGCCTCATCTTATCGTCAATATAGGGTACTACATCCCCTGGTTGCCTTCCTTCTTGTTAACACGGTGTATGACATCTCCTATTATTTAAAAAAAATGTCTTTTTCAATTCTTTATTCTGCAATAGCAAAGATAGTTTAATGTGTTTTCAATAACTCACAAAAATTTCCTAGTGCAAACTAGGGCAGAAATTTTTTGTTCCTTTTGTTTGTTTGTGTTGGCTTGCAGGTTTTTCTGCAAAGCGTGGATTGGATGTGCAAAAATAAGATTTCAGCTCTTGCTGGAGAAAATTGATCTCAGTACCAGCTGTGACATAATGCATGCAGAGACATAGGGTCTCAAGATCCATCTTCTCATCATCTGATTAAGAAGCAGGCCTGTGAGAACATTTCATAGTCTGTTACGTCGAGAGCATCAAGTTTCAGTCTAAAGTCAATGGGAAAGCAGATCAAGAATCAAGACAAGATTCCAGATGGCATTTAGATAGAAATTTTGTAACTCATAGATTTCAAGAGTATGTAATTTTCTTTTCATTTTATTTTGATGTAATAGTAAGAACCGCGGATCGGGACCTCGACGGAACCTCAATGGACTCTCCATCTAAGTATACTCCATCATGCTTCTTCCGCTTGAACTACACGTGACCTGATTTCCTTATAACCCGGGATATGTAAGCTGCCTGAAACCAAGGCTCGATCGCATCTTTTTCTGTTATCTTCTTTTCCTTTTCAAATAATAGTGAGGTCAAAAATTAGTCACCTTGTTCACTTTTCTTTGCGTGAAAACTCTTCATGTTTCCAATCAAAGAGGGGCATGCTGTGAACAACTAATTTTTGACCACAACCATATTTTATACTTTTTAGCGTAAATATTTCTTTTGGTCTAATGATCATATTTTAAACTTTTATCTTACTTTTAATAGGCTTTATTTTTGGGAAAATAAATTAAAATTATAAAAAAAAATGTTCATATATTATAGTAAATATTTTATTTTTATTTTATTTTTAAGGAGAAAAAGAAAATTTACAAAAAAAAAACATTTGGTTTCCTTTTAATTTACAATTTTACTAGTAAGCTAGTGACTATATATATTTTTCTTAGTATCGTTCAAATTATAGTGTATATATATTTAATTTAGTTTATTTATATATTTTTTTCTATATGAAGTGGGTTAACATTTTTATTTATGAATTTTACTTTACCTTTCGTTAAATAAATAAATAAAAAGTAATAAATTAATATTAAAATAAAATTTGTGTAAAATATCAGCCATTATCCCCTAACAATTCCCTTTTCATCACGTCACTTTGCAAAAACTGACTCTCTCACAATTTACCTCCACTCCCTCACGTCATACGCACACACAGTGCACGATCTCCATAATTCCCATTTAGTTATCCATCTCACCATTAAAAACACATGGAGGAATGTATAAAAAGAGAAAAAAAAAACATTCGGAAGGGAAGAAGGCTGAGAGCTAACACACAAAAAGAGTAGCCGCAATTCCCTTCCTTTCTCATTAACTCCTCATCTTCTTCACCCCTAAACTACCATGAGAACCAGCTGAAATTTCAGCCATTAAACACAATTAAACCCACCAAAAACTATCACCTTAAAACAGTCCATTTTTTTTTTTTACGTAAAACAGCCATATTTTCGGGTCGAAGTTCCGTCGCTCGACGTCGTCGCCGTCCAAGGTTTTACGCTCGCTGATCCTTATCTTTGTTCGAAGGTTTGTTGAGGTCCATTTTCTAACTTTGTATTTGGTTTATATACTATTTCCGTTGTTCTTTTTGTATTGCAAATGAGAATGAAGCTTTGTTTCTGAGCAATTTGCATGCATGTACGATAACTTTACCGTCTTTCATGATTGCTATGTAGGGACAAATGTACTATTGTATAAATAATATAAATCGGAAGGAAAGTGAATAGTTTCCTGATAAAATACTATATGAGGTGTTGTAGTAAAGTATATTCGGTGAAGTCAAATTTTAAATGATCCTAATGAGAAGGAGAGTAAAATGAAAAAGAAGTCGAGTGAAAAGGATTAAAAAGCAAGACCACAAAATTGTGGCATCGTTGATAACATATTCTTGTATAATTTACTTTATTTTTCTTTCGTATTTTGTGTCATTTTACCTAATTAGAAAATGGTAGGATGTAAATCAAACAAGGCTAATGGGATAGTGCGAAGCGTGGACAAATTTACTAGTTTATGTTGGTGAAGATTTAGAATAAGTTGGCTTATTTATTTTACATTGATTAATACTCGAATACTCATGAATACGTTAGAATGCTTTAAGCACGCTCCTAATTGAATTTAAAATGCTTTAAGTGCGCCCTTAATTAATCAATCTATCGCAATTATGTATACGTCCGCACGAAATAATTATGATTTCCAAAAAATGAACACCGTAGAAAGCTTTTGGCGCGTTCTAATCTTTTATCGTGATTGTAGACACGTTCGCGTGACATAATTATGACTCCCAAAATAAATGCATTTGTACAACTTGGGCAAAACAATATTAATAATAATAAATTGTAAAAGTAAATGTCTCGAATTTGAAAGGGACAAAATAATTAAAATACTCTAAAAATGCTAGAAAGCTTTATGCGTGCTTTGAATATTAGCCCATGTGTTCATACCCAAACCTTGGATTGATATGTTTAAATAATAAAAGGATCACGTGCGCACTCCCACGTCTTGATACCTTTCAAATTTGAAACAATTATGCTTTGACCATCTGTACATTTCGTACCTTGGTGTAACATTCAATTTCAAAAAATACTTTGTGTGCGTACTGCATCTTGGTGAACACAATTAATAAAACACAATAACTAATTAAGTGGTAATAGGAAAAAGAAAAAAATGCAATGAAATACAAGAATAGCCAAAAATTGATTTAAGCCTTACATTAGTCAATAAAAGCGACCGTGCTAGAACCACGGGATTCGAGGGGTGCCTTACACCTTCCCCTCGGTCAACAGAATTCCTTACTCAGTCTTCTGTTTTCATAGACCATAAATTAAGAGTCAGACCTTCCTTTTGAAAGGGGATTCAAATAAAAGGTTACTTGGAATACCAAAACTCCATTCCGAGTGGCGACTCCAAATAATAAATAACCCCTTTTCAAAATGTCACTTTAATTGAAAAACTCTTCTAACCCAACCACGTAATAGGGTTGTGTGAAAAAAAAGAGGTGTGACACTTAGTAAAAGAAGGATGGCTTTTTCCCCTTTTCGGTTTGAAAGATTTATTGTTTAACCATATAAAATTTGTTATGCCTTAGCATGAAATGAGGAATTTGTTTGAGAGTTCGAACAATTCTGTACCAATTAAGGTTCTCGAGGCTCGATATTATCGAACCCTTTTTTTAGAGAAAATATACCACTAGGCAGGCTGCCTAGTGGCTAATATATAAATAAAATCTCAAAATGGGTCCAAAGCTTATAAGATGTCCAAACCAAAATAGAAGTTGCATGAAGCTACTAGCTACTAAAAAGATAGAAAAGCTAATGTCTAATGAACTAGCTATTCTCTTGTCAGTGTATGTGAATCCAATTGCCAGTGGCAAATACCAAGAAGCACCTATCCAGCTCTCACCAGGCGCCAGGGTATCCAGTCCATAGGCTAGAATGAATTCCAAACATCTCCACCATAGAATTAACGCCAGCATAGTCTTCCAATCATTAGTGTTACTACAATATGATCTCCATAGGCAGTGTATTGACTCTATTCAAAGTTTAAATCATCTGGTCGATCATCAATATTATCATGTAAAAGAGACCGGCTACACCTGTCTTGAAGTTGGCTTTAGGCAGGCTTTGCAAAGCAAAAGCCAGGCTGGGGCTGGCTTTAGGCAGGCTTTGCAAGGCAAAAGCCAGGCTGGGGCTGGCTTTAAGCAGGCTTTGCAAGGCAAAAGCCATTCCAGGGCTAGCTTTAAGCTGGCGACTACAGGGTAACGCTAGGGTATCATCAGGTTTTAGCCTGGCGCCGCCAGGCCTATGGAGCTGGGTGATTTTATGTTCTTGTAAGCTCAGATCCTTCTCTTCCCGAACCTCTAATGTAGAAATCATTCTAAACATTGCTAAACCATCCTTATATTGAGCATAAAGACATACTAATACCACTGAGAAATTATTCAACAATCTCCAGAAATTCCACATAACAGATTCAACCTTTTCCTTAATATTTGAACATATCAGAAGTAGAATAAATTGCACCATCCAATACCTGCTTATCACATTGGTCCTGTACACTATCAAAGCAGCCCAGAATGCGCATGTGGCCATGCTAATACCACTTGAAAGTATATTAATAGCATACATTATGAGACATAAAAGAAACACGCAGGTATCTGCAGATTCCAATCCTGTGAAGCCATCAGTTTGGGGCTCTTCTCTTTGCTATTCTAACCCTAAGGTTAGGAGTTTGAGACTTGTCTTAATTAATCAACCTCCTCCCTGTACTTGGCAGTTCAGATAATGAGTGAAACTCAGATGTACCTACAAAAGAAAAAACAATGTTAGCTATAAAATCCGCCACTAAGTTGCCTTCTCTGAACACATCTTGAAAGACCACATTGAAGTTGCCCTCTATCTCTATAATTTTCTTCACATCATTTGCAATTACCCAAGGAGGATCACATTCCCCTTCTGTCACTTTCTTCATCACTAATGAATCAGTCTCCAATATGAGAGGGTGAAGATCATGCTCCACACAGTATTCCAATCCTTGAAGAATAGCCTTAGCTTCAGCTACCACATTTGTTGTCACCCCAGGTCTACTGCCCTTGCACACACCACATCACCTTCATCATTCCTCACATAAAAGCCTAATAATCTAGGACCAGGATTTCCTTTTGAGGCTCCATCAGTATTGCATTTGTACCAACCATGAAAAGGAAGCTACCATGTTACTCTTGTAGTGATCAATATAGGTTTATACCTTCAAAATATTGAATTATTTCTGGCCATAACAATGGAATAGGCATCCAAGCATACCTCACCCTTGCCAGTTGATGTAATGTCCTATTGATCTCATGAATCACCTTATTTGTGGACACTGAACCCCCATGTTTACCTGCATTTCTTCTTTTCCAAAGTTCCCAAGTGATGATAGCTGGTACTGCTTGAAACAATGGCTTTAGCTTTGGACAACATTGAGCATACCACCAATGCCTTATAACCTGCTTCAATTGAATCAATGGCACAGTAATTCCAGCAGCCCCCATTAACAAGTTCCATACTTTAGAGGCAGTAGGACTTGTGATAAGTATATGCTCAATAGATTCCTCTTGGGCTGCTGACAACACCAACACCTATACATCACCATTTGCCCTTGCCTCCTCCACATGTCATCAGTGGACATTTTCTTCCTCCACAATCTCCACAAGAAGAAGGATATCTTGAATGGTAAGCCCTTAATCCACATTAACTTGAATTCATGATTAGGATCAGCTCTATGCCTTAATATTTGCCAAGCACTGCTAACACTGAACTTGCCTGAAGGAGTTGGCATCCAGTATGGACTATCCCAGTATCCCTCATTGCCTTTATAATGCACATTTAGCCTTATATGTTCTGCAATTTCCTCATTGAAGGTTTGATCTAGCAGCTGATCATCCCATGTTTCACCTTGCAATAATTCTGCCACATCCTAAAGATCTTCATTGATTGAAAAGTCTTCAGGTAATACGTGATAAAGTGCACCCAATCCAGTTCAATTTTCATGCCAAATATTAGTTGTTCCACTCATTAATTCCCATAGGATCTCATGTTCTACTTCTTCCCTAGCATTCAACATTTGTTTCCAAACATTAGACCCCTTTCTAAACTGCACCACCATTGGTATCTCCTTCTTTAAATACTTATTCCACATGAAATTAGACCACAAATATTTTGTGGTCCTAAACCTCCCTCATAGTTTAGCAAACAATGACCTCGATACATCATGTAAGGATCTAAAACCTAGGCCCCCTTCCTCTTTATGAAGGCAAAGATTTTGCCATGAGGCCCAATGTCTGCTTCTCCCTTCTTCCTTTGTGCTCCAAAAGAACCTAGCAAAAATCTTATGAAGATGCTCCAGGACATTTTTTGGTGGATGCAGGACTGATAACATGTGGACCAACATACTTTGCAACACACTAGTAATGAGTGTTGCCTTTCCTCCAAATGACAGCAACTTTCCTTTCCATGAATGCAATTTAGCCTTTACTTTGTTGATAAGATCCTCATAATATTCCCTCCTCCTTCTAGTGTAGAAAATAAGACACCCTAGATATGTGAACGGGAATTTACTTCTTGCAAATCCTGTAATAGCTCCAATCGCCTGACACAGTCCATTAGGAATCTTTGAATACATGTAGTATGAACTCTTATCTTTGTTGATCATCTGGCCTGATATCTTCTCATAGTTCCCCAACACTGCCATAATCTTGCTCAAGGATGGAGGATGAGCATAAGCAAAGATTATAGTATCATCAGCATATGCCAAGTGGTTTAAAGGATTAGACCACTTAGGAATTCCAAATCCCACAAATGACATGTCTTAAAATGGCTTATTCAAAGACCTGGAAAGTACCTCAGCTGACAGAATGAACAATGCTGGTGATAGAGGATCCCCTTGCTTCACACCCCTTGTAGACTTAAAGGACTCTGATGACACCAAGTTCCACACCATGTTGATGAAGTGCTCAGAAAATCCCATCTTCCTTATTACATGCAATAAGTACTTCTATGAAACCCTATCATAGGCCTTATCCATGTCAAGCTTGATCACCACATTAGGTGGCTTTCCCCTTAACCTTATGTCAGTGACAATTTCTTAAGTCAATAAGATGTTCTCAAATATACTCCTACCCTCCACAAATCCGGATTGATTAGGAGATATTAGAGAAGGCAAAAAAATTTCCAATCTATCATGTAACACCTAGACAAGACCTTGTTAATGAAGTTGCTCAAGCTAATAGGTCTTAAGCCAGAAAAGGTGTCAACACTAGGTTTTTTAGGCTGCAACACTAGATTGGTGTGAGTGATGGATTTAGGCAGTGCAACTCCTCCATAGAAGCGTAGCACCATGTTGTGCATATCAACACCAATAACATCCCACAGGCCAGTGAATCCATCTGGACCACTAGCACTCTCCCTTCTAAGCTCAAAAACTGCTGTCCTTACCTCTTTAATTGTTGGCAATCTGATAAGTTCCAAATTCTATTCCATATTGACCATCGAGGTTACATCATTGAGCAAGGAAAAGTTAGATGTATCACGTTCATTAGTGAACTATTTTTGATAGAAGTCCAGTTCAGCTGTAGCCAATTGCTCCTGGTCTTCAATCCATACCCCACTTCCACTTTTAATACTCTTCAGTTGCAATTTCTTTCTTTTGACATTGATATGATTGTGAAAGAAACTTGTATTCCCATCTCCTTCAGCAAACCAAGTCATCCCGGCTTTTTGCTTTCAATACTGCTCCTCAATACTCAAGTATTTCTTCAATTCAGATTGAGCCTTTTGAAGCACAATCCTGTTCTCAATTGTAGGCTCTTCTTCAAACAACATCTCTTTCACCCTAACAATGTCTTCCAAAATAGCCAATTGCTTGAAGATATCACCAAATGTTTCCCTGCTCCATTCTGACAGTGCTGCCTTCACCCTCTTGAGTTTCTGCTTGAACATCAAAAACGGATCCCCTACGAAATCAGCTTCCCAATTCTGCCTCACCACATCCATAAATGCAGCATGTTTAGTCCAAAAGTTCAAGAACCTGAAAGGCTTGACAAAATTGGTGGTCTGCTCCCCACATGTCATTAACAATGGTGCATGATCTGATCCAGTTCCGATTAGATGTTCAACTTCAGTAGTTGGCAACATGTTCTGAAATGGCAAATTCACAAAGATCCTATCCAATCTTTTGAATATACACGCAACATTGGATCTACCATTCCACCATGTAAATGGACTTCCTTTGTATCCTTGCTCAAACAAACCACAAGAGTTTACATAATATGCAAAATCCTCATATTCAGGCGGGTGTACTGGTAGTCCTCCTATTTTCTCATCTTCATGTAATATCACATTGAAATCCCCTCCTACCAACCATGGAAATTTCATATCACTTGCTAAGTAATACAAGTGATCCCACAATTCCAACCTCTCAATTGCTGAACATTTTGCATAAACAAACGTCATCATCATGTGCTACCCCAGGTCATGGTGAAGCACTCTCACAGTCACCTATTTCTAAGTATCCTCCACTAATTCACATTCCACCATTGCATCAAAGAACAACCATATTTTCCCATTAATATTTGCATAAGCCGTCTTCATATTCAACCTTCTTCTATATCTATCAATGAGACTCTTCTTTTGAAAAGGCTCCATCAATGCAACTACACACAAGTTATGCTCCCTATTCATGTTGATTATCCTAGGAAAAGCCTGCTGTGTATTCACAGACCTTATATTCCATATTAATGTTTTGATCATCATTTAGATAGAGAAGATGCCCTCCTCTGCATAATTCTTGAATGTTTTTATGGCTCTTTATTTTAATTCTTCTTTGTTTTCTTACCTCCTTTAGCACTGGCTGTAGGTGATAGATCCCCATCCTAGCCACCTGTTTGAAGTTTTCTGCTGTTGATTCATCATCTCCCTCATACTCCATATGAGTTTGTCTCATTAAGTCTTCAGCAATTGGTGCCACATTGTGTGTAACTAAATCATGTAAATGTTGTAGTGGAGTCTTCAGTCGAACATTAAGATGTAGCTGCATAATTTGATCAGTGCCATATTCCATAGGCACTTTATCTATTTCCCCAGATGCTCTTGGAACAATTGCCTGCTCATCAGCCTTTTCATTGCTATTCACCATATAAGAAGCAGCAGTCTGCATCATTTTGAATTGCTGCTCATAAACACTGCCTAGCCCAGGAATTACTGTGGTAGTCTGCTCATAAATGTCTGTTCTATTGATATCACCACCCTTTCCATTGCCTATGCTTTGGTCAGACCCTACTGTATCATCCCTAATCTTCCCGTTATCATCAAGTTTGTTCTCCAATGCATACACCGGAACACCATCTACATAGGCCAAAATCTTGCCAGTTGTAATAGGTACAGAGTTTACTATCGTTGCTTCATCAGGTGACCCTGACGCCAGGCCTGGCATCGCCAGCCTAACGCCTGGGGTACCTGGCTTTAGGCCTGGCATCGCCAGCCTAATGCCTGGGGAGCCTGGTTTTAGGCCTGGCGTCGCCAGCCTATCGCCAGGTGGGCTGTTGTCCCTCACTTTTTCTCCAGTTGTCTTTGTCGTGCCTAGTTGATCATTCTCCACCTCAATTGCATCACTCCCTACAACCTTTGTTGAGTTTATCTCATCAAGGTCCTCAAGCTGCCCAGAATCTGCCAATGTTTGAGATGGAATATCTTGACATGATTGGTTTGTAGTCACATTAAGTTGCCTTAGCTCCTCTTTGCTAGTTCCAAACCTTCTATGAACCTAGTCGATTGTGGATTCCTTATAAGCCCTTTCATCTGTACTTGGATCACTAGGAATTATAGGATTAGCCTTAGCTAAGTTCCCATTATGCTGATCTTCCAACACTTTCTCAACTGCTTTCTTCTTCACACGCTTAAGTTCCTATTGATTACCTTCTCCAGCGGGTTTATTATTAGCATCTTTCACAAACCTAACCCAGAAGCCTTATGATTAGGGCTTGAAGCTCCGGTATTGCCATATTTTTCCTTCTCATAGCCCTTCTTTGATTGCTTTTCCCCATGTTCCTTCTTTTTACCATTGCTACGATCCTCACCTTTGCCTTCAGTAATTTGTAGAGTAGGTTGATGAACTTCCTCAACCTCTAATGCATTAAACTTGTTCTTGGTTGCTACTTCCTCAAGTTTGGCCTTCCCTTTACCCTTGTCATCTTCCTTACCTTGTTTGTTATCAACAATGTGACCCTATTATCCCGTTGGTATTTGTTCTTCCTTGCTTGTATCCATTCCTGCTTGGCATAATTGGTAGCAGGCTTAATAACCACCTTTCCACTTGACAGAACCTTTGTTAAGCTTGGAATTGTACCAATTGCTTTACTACTCACCACAACTATCTTCTCTTTGCCTTGATCCTCAACATCTTCATCAAATCTCTTGTGTAACTCAGGATGAATTACCCAACATTCTACCTCACTATGCCCTTGTTTCTTGCAAGGCTTGCAATATTTTGGCATATAATCATACTTTATCCTAATCCATTTAAACTCTTCTGGCCCAGATTCATTAGTTTCTTCAACAATCTTAATACGTTTAGGGAAATTACCTAACAAATTAACTTCCACCTTCACCTTAGCACAACTAGGTCTAGTCCCATTTTGAGTTGCTAGGTCTACATGTAATGGGTTACCATCTGCACGAGCTAATGAAAATACACATTCCTTACCAAAGAAATTTGGAGGAAGTTATGGAAAGCTAATCCAAGCTATGGCAATTGGAGTCTCTTCATCAGGTGTCCACCATGGATTCCATTTTGTACGACGCATCTGCCACATGTCTGATTGAGCCTTTAAGCAAAAAGCTGGCTTTGAAAGAAGATGAACATAATCCTCCAATAATGACAATCTAATCAACACATGATTATCTTCAATCAAGCCAACTGAGCAATGACCCTTAATCTCACATATAATTGGAATCACTTTACGCAATTCACCAATAACAGGCTTCCCATACGAAAATTTCCCAAGAACTGCAAGTTGAAGCCCTTGTTGTACGATGGATTGTTTCACTTCTTGCTTCTTCCACTTCAGAACTGGTTCTCCATGCAGGAACTCAACAAGTTTCAATGGTAGCGTAGCTAGGGTTTGCATGGGGCATTAATGGTGGTAGGTTTTAGAAGTTTTGAATAATCCATGGGCTGGGGATTGTTTTTTCTAATCGTGGATGGTTGGGCGATAGTGGGGGAAGGTTGGGAGGCAGTGTAGCCGTCAGGGGTGGCTAGCCACCGGCTGTGGAGGCCATAGTAGGGCAGTCACCGGTGAAGGGCACATAATCGCCCAAAAATTAGGAGAGAGAAGAGAGCAAAAATTCTCAAGTTTCGAAACCTTTTGTTTCATAATGCCTTAACATGAAATAAAGAATTTGTTCGAGAGTTCGAACAATTTTACCCATTAGGGTTTTCGAGGGTCGACATTATCGAAACCCCTTTTAATTTTGCCGAGGGTAGCCTTTTTAACCTGTTTATGAAAATATTCGAAGGCTTCTTTTATAATGGAAGTCGGACGTCTCCGAACCGTGTTAATTTGGCCTCAACCTCTTTAGCTTGGGGCTTTCCTCTTGGGCTTGTTTCCCCATTACATTTCGAACTTGTTCGAAGTGTCAGTCCCTAGTGGGGTGGCCGTGGCCTATAAAAATCGAGGTTTGCCTTTTTAAGGTCTTATGATATCAAGGTTTTAATAATTCGATCTCGTCTATTTTTCGGACAGTAGTCCCCGAGTGTGGGGTTAGTTGTTCGAACTTCAGTTGTGATCGGTTCTTAAGATTGTTTACACA